GTGTGTGTGTGTGTGTGGAGACTGCTAACACCAGATATAAGTTCTGTTTGGTTAACTTTTCTTTGAATGGCTTGTGACTGCTGGGTGAGAAACTGTAGTCTATCGGTGTGTAAAAATACTTGAAAACAGTCATTATGATGCAGTGTCACAGTGATGAATGTTCAGATGGGTGCCTGACTCATATCTATCTTCTGTGTGGGGTGTTTTTTTTTACCACTAAACCAGTGGCAGGCTGCGGCGTGTGTGTGAATCCTCTTGCGAGATCAGTTTAAGCAGTTGAATTGTGCTTAGTTAGAATGGGGACAGAGCTGTAGGGAGAAGGAGCATGAAACGCGTCAAAAGTAGCTACAACCCTTACTCTACGAGTCAAAGGGTTAAGAAAGCCGAGTCGAAGGCCAAGGACAGGCTGGACATACTGCCCAACAAGCACAACGTATGGCTCAAGCAGGTATGTTGGAGTGTGCGTGTCATCCGATGTCTGTTTTCTGTTTCTTACAAAATGCTTGCACTGTTTTTAGCAGTGAGTTCGGCTCCTTGGCCTTTTCAGGCCCCAAACACTGTAAGGCGCTAACTGTAGTCAAAGTGTACCCTAACTGAGAGATGAGCTGCACGATGGAGGCTAAAAAGAAACCACATCGTGACTTTTTATGTCTGTTTTGTAAGCAGATGAGAAGGTCATTTCCACCTCTGTAAATATCACTGTGCTTATTCCAAACAGTTTATGGCATTTCTGTGTTTCTACACCCTCAGTTTTGCCACACCCGTCAACAGCTTGGAGTCAGGAAGTGTTGCACAACGCAACACAGGATCTTGTGAAAGTCTTCATGTGTGTGTTTACCAACAGCAGAGCTGCTGGGTTTAAAGGCCACAAAGGCAAAGAGGAGTCAGGCCGGCCCTCCTCATGCTCAGGTTGAGTGGGATTCATGTGATCATCTCGACCCTTTCTCTCTTCCTCTCAGCTGTCCATCCTCCAGGAGCAGCCTCGGAAGGATACAGGCGATGTCACCCTCTCCTCTTCGCCCTCATCTTCTTCCTCTGCTTCAACTCTCACCCCGACCTCTGCCGGGAGCCTGGACCCCTCCCTTTCCTGCCCGAGCACCCCCAGCACCCAGCACAGCAAGCTGGCGGCGATGCAAGGCGTGGGCTGCCCGTCTCCTGTGGCCACCCTGAAGAGACCCACTGCGCTGAGCAGACACGCCAGCGCTGCAGGTCTGGGTCAAAACATCCGTAAACGTCGCCTTAAATTAATGAAATATGCTTAAATATAGTCTTATCCCTGCAGCAGCATCCACGAGTGAACTGAAACAGAAAGACAAAGTAAAATCTGGAGAAAGAGAGCACACGTGCAGTGCACAGAATATAAAAAAAACACCTACCTCCCTGACATCCTGAACAAATGTTGAATTATTATCTTTTATATTGTAAAGGTGGATTTTAAAGTTTCGAGACAATAAAGAATGAGCTATGGAAATGGTGGCAGTCCCAGGGACCTGCAACTAATGCCTGTTTAACTATTGATGGATTGATTTGTTAATAATTACGTTTTAGTAAATTGTCTCCAAAATGTCCCAGAGCCTAGAGCGGCATCTTCAAATATTTTTTTCCTATTTTCCAAAAGAAATCCAAACATCTTCAATTTACAATGATAGAAAACACACTTATTCACAATTTGGTGGAGAGATAAATGAGAAGATCAATACCACTTATGTTTCTCTTTTATGAAGCTTCAGCCAGCAGCCGGTTAGCTTAGCTTAGCTTAGTATAAAAACTGGAAACAGAAACAGGAGGAAACCGCTAACCTGCCTATTCAGCGCCTTTCAAGCTCACTCTTTGTGCTAAGCAGAGGCTGTAGCCTCACACGGTATTTAACGGACAAATATGACTGTGGTATTGATCTTGCCCATCTAACTCGCTGGCAAAAACTGAAACTATTCATTTAAGAATTAGAAACAAATAAATCTTGAGCACTTTTGTTTGATGAATCACTCAAACTGTTTTTCTCTGTCTCTCCTCAGGATTCCCGCTCCAGTCGTGGGTGTTCACCAAAGGCCAGGGGAAAGGGGCTTTGACCCCCACTACTCCATCTGAAGGCCCAGAGAGCACAGCCATTGAGGTTGAGGACATCCCGGCCCTGCTGAGAGACGTGGCACGTTTTGCCGAGGCTGTGGAGAAACTGAAGGATGTCGTGCTGGCTGAAGGTGAGCGCGGTGACAGATGAACCAGGCACAAATCATCCCACAGAAACATTAACCTGATGTAGAGGTTAGAAGGTTGCAAGTAGTCACTGTCAAACTGAGTTGGGCTCCTGCTGGTGTATTTTTGCCAGATTACAAGACGTGTTTGAGGACATGTGTTATGGGTTGATTTGCAGTTGAACCTCTGGGAGTGGCTCTCATTCTGATATTGCTCGTTTTCACTACTGTGGAGACAAAACATAGTTCTCTTTGCGTGTGTAGCCAGCTATTCATCCTCTGGCTGCACTGACAGTATTGTGTGTGTGTGTGTGTGGTGTGTGCTGTGTGTGTGCTGTGTGTGTGTGTGCGCGCGCACTAACACGTTAGTTTGCGGACAGAACAATACTGTTTGGTGTCTCCTCTTCCCCTTTGTGTTCGCTCCACTCCATTTTGACAAGGGCTTACATGAAAAGGACACGAGGCATCCACAAAAGGTTTTTATCAACCTTACATCAGTCCTGTTCAGACACGTGTGCATTGTGTGTGTGTGTTGGGGGAGGGGAGGGGAGGGAAACGGGGCGGAGCAACATTCGCAAGAAAGCTAACAAGTGTCTGTGAACGTCCCCTCTCCAAATGAAGGGCTGCGTTTCGGCTGCGTTTCCGTTGCGCCCACAGACTCTACCGCACTCGTCTCCAGCAGGAAGCCAACTTCTTGTTTACTGCAACCTCATACACACACTCTTCCTCTCCCGTGCAACGCATTAAAATGGCAGAGTACCTGTCCTCGTGGAGTGAAACCCCCACTCCAGTGTTGATTCCACCTGCTACACAAACTGAAACCCTAAAAAGAACAGGTGTTGTTGAAGTTATTGAGGTTAGAGTCTTGGCTGGAAAAAGCTTTTTTTCCCCCAGAGTTCTGTTGTTTTGTTGATTTTAAAGAGCTTTGTTTATGTGTCTTTCTGTCCCCTGTAATCTGGCTCTGTTCTGTCATGTCCTCCACCCAGAGTGAACTTTCTAAACAGGAAGCCATGATGGATAGCCTCTGTCAGGAGGGCCTCGTCCACACTTCCTCCTCTGATAGGCTGGCTGCACCGCTGCGACGTGACTCCTCCCTTTTCTTAATCAGCAGCACAATCAGAGTTTCAGCCACGTCTCCTCCATACTGCGATCCAATGCAGCACTTAATCAGTAGCTCCTTGTGGCTTCTTATGTTCTGCTTAATTTCCTTAACATCAAACCATTTTTTATAACGTCAACAGTAAGGTGCCTTGTTTTCATGAACCACAAAAAGCAGATGTTGCACAGCACCAGAATTAGTTTCTAATCTTGCAAAACAATAGCAAAGACCACATCCTCTCTGGCACAATGTTCAGGTCACTCTGTTCTCGTTCTACTTGTTGCTGCTGCTGGTCAGACACTCTGACACACATTTTCAGACAGACTGTGGGAGAGCGGCCCTCTGGCCTCCCTGAGCGAGCTGCGTCAAATGATCAAAAATGATACACAGAGGTTGCAACATTAGGCAGAAAAAAAGTGAACGAAACCTGTGTGTGTGTGTGTGTGTGTGTGTGTGTGTTGGGAGGAAATGAGGATGCCGGCTGCAAATGTGTCATCAGTTACCTCAAAGCAAACGAGCTGAAACTGTGTGAACCTCAACCCGACCCGTCTGACACTATTATGATCACTGTCCCAACGGTCTGTACTCAGGCTGCCTGTTTCGCTCTGCCCATGCAGAAACGGAGACCTGCAGAGACTCAAAGGAATAGTGACATCTCGGGAAAAGAGCTTATTCGCTTTCATGCAGGGGATCAATACCACTCGTATCTATACAGTAAATATGCTAGCTCGGCTGTGTCTGAAAATGACCAAATCCACCTACCGGCACCTCTAAAGTTTGATTAACTCATTTTTGTCCAGGAGTCTAATCTGGCAAGAACAACAAAAAATCGTTTCCTGAAATTACAAACTATTTACAGCAGTGCTTTATTTTCAGTCCCAACATTACCAGTAAGCTGTAAGGCCTCTTAATAAAGTAAAACTCTCCCTTACTGATGCATTCAAGGACACTCAGAATCATAAATTGATGCTTTTTTTTTTTGGGGCCCGTTCGATTTTAAGCCTTGAAGGTGCCACAACTTGGTTTTCATACTGAAATGAAATAAAATAAATGGGTTCCATGTTAAAAGAAGAATAGTTGGCAGCCATTTAAAGTGTAAATGCCTAGTTAATGGGATACAAACCTCCAGAACCAACAATGTGGTAGCCTGTTGTTGGTCCCTTCTCCTCATCCAATCACATCTTCCTCTTTCCTTCCCTCTCATCCAGGTAAGAAGGAGAGTCAGCGGCCTGTGGCTCACGAGTGTTTGGGGGAGGTCCTGCGGGTGCTGCGTCAGGTCATCAACACCTACCCCTTGCTCAACACCGTGGAGATCCTCACTGCTGCCGGCAAGCTCATATCCAAGGTCAAAGGTCAGTCAACTGCACAGAGAAATCTTCAGCCATGAACAGAAATTAAAGTCAAACAGATGTAGACAGAAGCCTGTTTTTAAAAATAAATGAACAATGTATAGGTTTTCTCTTTTTTTTTTTTTTCGCCAGCTATTTGTTTAGAATTACTTAAGTTGATAACTTCACACAGTTTACATTGATCATACCAACATCCTTTGGTAATCCTGTATACACTGCACATAACTGATATGCAGGTGTGTAACATTCCTTTGGTCAGCAGCGTAATACAAACCACAAATGAAACCTGAACACATGCATGTTTGTGATTTTTCAGGTTTCCACTATGAGGCTTGCAACGAAGCAGATAAAATGGACTTTGAGAAGGCAATTGAAACCATTGCAGTTGCTTTTAGCAGCAAGTAAGTATCTGATACACTCTTGCAATATGTCTGATTATCAAAATAAAAGTGACCCTACGGGGTTTACTGCTGGTATTTGGTATAGTTATTACCACAGAGACGTGATGATAGTGATATAGGTACGTGTGTGTGTGTGTGTGTGTATGTGTGTTAAAGCGTACAAAGTAGTCTGTTGTTGGGAATTAGAGAGAGAAGTGCAGCGATGGTGACACATTTGCATGAGGCAGAGCTGAAAACAGGAAGTGGTTTTTTTTTCTTCTACCGAATGACACAAAACCAACACTTGAAAATGCTGTTGACTACCTGGCTGCTAAACGAACAGATTGCTGCAGCCTGGGGAGATTATAAATCACGATAACATTCTCTTGATTTGAGACACTTGAGTGGAATTCAGACCTAACTAATTATTAAATGTGGAGAATCTTCAAATCAGTTTTTTCAAGATTTAATGTTTTAAACCTGACAATTTTCGGTCTTTCAAAATAATATCTTGATAAGTGAAAGAACTAGAGTAGAGAACGGTGTCAGTTTTATGTGCAATTTAAGTATATTGCACCAACAGTTTATCACATGCTAGTGTGTGCCATTTTAGGGTTTAGACGTCTGTCAGAAGCTTTAGGAGGAAGTGAGCTGGCAGAGACAGTTGAGATCTGCCCGACGAGTCTGTTTCCTCATTCTCTCCTCCACTCTTCCTTCTCTGTCATGAACCGAAAAACACCAAGATGGAGATTTCACTTTGCCGTTATACAGGCTGAAGAAAACCAAACAACTGAATGAATAAAGATGAGAGATGTCAGAAGGACGAGGGATATGTTGAAAAATATTAATTGCTTTGACATTGACATTGACAGTATTTAGATTGAAGAATAAGATTAAACAAGTTAGACAAAAGTAACTGAAACACATTTGATCACTTCCTGTCTCTGGTACATTTGTAACTGTTGACATGTTCTACAAGGACTCATTCCCCTTTTTTTCCCTTTCTTTAAAACCTGCTCTACGTGTCCCAGCTCAGTCAGTTTGCACACCGATAATTATTCCTGCCATGCAGTACATTTTTGCCTCTGCCGTATTTGGCGATGTAAAGGTGTCTGTTGTGTTTCTCCTCAGTGTGTCTGAACTGCTGATGGGAGAGGTGGACAGCAGCACATTGCTGTCCCTGCTGCCCACTGAGAAGAGCAGGGTGAGTGAATGTTTATCATAGAGCGTCTGTCAATTTAAAAAAATATATCTAACACAGTAAGCCAGTAACTACGTAAAACTGAATATTTCTGTACATAAAGTTCCCCTCTTTCCACTGCATGAAGTAAAAAAATCCCTCAATTGATGACAAGCCTGTGTTTGTCAGTAATGAATCATCTTTGTGCTGTGTAGTCGATGGAGAACTTGTACGCTGTGACAGGCCAGGGGGCAGATGGGGGAGCATTCAGGAGCGACCTGCAGGACATGGGTAGGCAATCGGCTGCTTTTGTGGACTGCCTTATGTGATACTTCTGCACTTCCTACACTTCCTGTCCTTCCATTCACTCTCATTATGTCTTGTGAAAGTGCTGCTTTTTTTATTTGTCTGTGTGCTCTGTGTCAGCCATTTACATTAGAAAGTAGTGATCCGGTACACTGATGTGTTTCACAGCAGGAGAGACAGCTGCACAAACTCTTTATCACAAAGAAACAAGTTACAAACAGTATTTAAAATTAGAGTATTGACAGCAGTGACATGTTGGAGATTATCACCAAAGTTCTGAATCTTCACACCTCAGCTGCAGACGTTTGTTTCTCGCAAATCATTATCAGCAAAAACAGTCTGTGTTGTCATAGCAAGGAATCGCGGTTGTTCTTGTGCAGTGACCTATGTTTGTGTGTTGACATGTAGGCAGAGGGGAAGAAGTGGATGTGATCCTCCAGCGCAGTGAGGGAGGGGTAGACTCTGCTCTGCTCTATGCCAAAACCATTTCCAAGTACATGAAGGACCTTATAAACTATGTGGAAAAGAGAACTTCACTGGGTAAGTTGTGAATAGATATAGATTAATAATTAAAAGATAATCAATACTTGCAGCCCTAATAAGTGAACCACTGTAGAAATGCATTGTTCTATCCATCTTTTAATCATTTCTTTTCTTCTACTTTTCCAGAGACCGAGTTTTCCAAAGGCCTCCAGAGATTATACCAGTCCTGCAAACACAGCATAACCCATGTAAAGCTAATTTATTTTAGTTATTAAAATTAAATTCTTTTTTTAGTATATCTGTGACATTGAATGTTAAAAGCTTGGATAAACTTGAAGCAATACGGCATTCGCCTTTCTGTTTTTGTTGGTTATCAAACCCTCTCTTTCTGTTTTTGTGTTTGCTCCCTCTAGCCCCACATGCCCCTCTTCTCCATCTACTCTCTGGCTCTGGAGCAGGACCAGGAGCAGAGCGTGGGGCTGCAGCAGGCCAACACCACCCTGCACAACCAGACCTTCATCCAGGTAAACTTTTATTCTTGAATCCCCCTGCGACAGCCCCTCATGCTGCTGTTAATACCGTAGAGTTTTGCCCCTGTATACATTGTGTTAATGTGTGCATGTGTTTGTTTTTACAGCCTCTGTTGCATCGTAAGCAGGAGCATGAAAAGAGACGCAAGGAGATCAAGGAACACTGGATTCGAGCTAAGAGAAAACTGGTACAACCTCCTATTTTGTACATGCAACCACACATAGCATTAGCCCGTTGTATGTATCTGTAACACTACGAAATGATTTGTCGTTGTTTAGATGGAGTGTGAGGCGAACCTGCGGAAAGCCAAGCAAACCTTCATGGTCCGCTGCGAGGAGCACGACAAGGCGAAAACAGCAGCCTGCCGAGCTGAGGAGGAAGGAGGAGGAGGAGGATCTGCAGCAAAGTCTGTGGAGAAGAAGAAACGAATAGAGGAAGAGGCTCGCAACAAGGTTCTCATCAATAACTTTTGTTTCAGAACGTTATCACTGACTTTTGGTGATGTGCAGTCATGTGGAATTGAAAAGACCTTTATCTTGCTGCCACAATGTCACAAGTGACACTCGATATATCTGTGTGCTAATCTGAAACAGAACACAGGAAGTAAATTGAAAATTAAACTTTTTGTGGGCAGGCAGACGAGGCAGAGGCCACCTACCGGACATGTATCGCAGACGTCACCACCCAGCAGCTGGAGCTGGAGCACACAAAAGTCACAGTGCTGAGGCAACTGCAGGACGTCATCAAACAGAGCGACCAGACCCTCCGCTCGGTCAGAACAAACACGCACACAAACAAACACACCTCACTGTTACAAAATGGTGTTGACTTCTTACCTTTTCTCAACCTGCAACATGCTCCAGTCTTTCCTGATCCTCTTTGCTGTAACTCTTTCTCCACCAGGCGACCATCTCGTACTACCAGCTCATGCACATGCAGACGGTAGCCTTGCCGGTCCACTACCAGACTCTGTGTGAGAGCAGTAAGCTGTATGACCCAGGCCAGCAGTACGCCGCCCACGTGCGAGACCTGCAACTGCCAGAGCAGCCTAATGTTCACTACACGTTTGAGAACTACTGTGCCTCCAGCTCATCGTCACAGTAAGAGCTTCAGTCGGAGACACAAGATTTCAATTGAACCCTTGAAGACATTTTGATACCACTCTCACGTCCATATGAAGCTACAGCCAGAAGCCGATTAGCTTAGCACAAAGACAGGACCGAGCCAGGCTGGCTGTTTCCATTGTTTCCACTGTTTGTGCTAAGCGTAAACCAAATTTACCGTACAGGCATGGGAGTGCTGTCAATCTTCTCATCAAGAAAGTTAATGTGTGTTTCCAATATGTTGAACTATTCCTTAACAATTCAGATTTAAATAGGAAATTATAAATTGTCTTCTACATTGTTGCAGCCATGGGCACAGGCCAAGAAATGACAGTTTCAACACAGAGCCGACGAGCCACACAGACAGTCCTGCCACCAGCGTGGACACACCAGCTGGAGACAACAGAGACACAGAGACTCACCGCAAGAGTAAGCGACGCCCACTGACGTCTCAGTTATGATTATCTTTACAAAACTACAGTAGTTCATTTGTTCATTTAATTTAATTTTTTAAAAGCATAACAGTTACAAGAGGGTACAGTGTTAAAGTAATTTAAGTCAAGTTTGATCTAAAATGATTGACAAAATGAAATTATTTTTATACAGACTGTTCCCATATTCTTGTCCCTTTATCCCCAGGGCAGGGACACAAGTCGTGGGGTTCAACAGTGAGCGATGACAGTGTTGGAGGAGAGGGAAGCGTAGAGTCTCCTACTGCCAGCACAAGTGAGTACAAGTTGGTGTCATGAAAACAGATTACATACAGCAGAATATCATTTGTAGATAACCTTCGCAGACGCCTCACAGTATGTGTGAGCATCTTTATATGGCAGAGCATATATTGATATCATATTTATTCTAGGTGAAATCAATAAAATGGCTCGGACGTCGTCCACTGGAACAATGTCGTCCAATGAGGATGCAGATGAGAAAGACGGGAATGTGACCTCATTTGATTCTCAAAGTAAGATTTACAGATTGTCCTCTCTTGATGTGACTACACAGTAACATGGCCATGAAAAATGTCTTATTTGTACAAATTGTGTGTATGGTCTTTGTCCTCAGATATTAATGGCATGGATCCTGATGTGGTGGTGTCCACCAGACCTTTCCGTAACATTGGCCTGTCTAAAGCGGCACTGACCCACCGACTGAGGAAGCTACGGACTCCTTCCAAGTGCCGCGAGTGTGACAGCTACGTTTACTTCCAGGGGGCTGAGTGTGAGGAGGTGAGAAGTCTTTCAGGATACAAATGTGCAGCTCTTGAAGCATTATGATTCGACCATGTTCCACAAGGTCAACACCTTCTTCTCTGTCCGCAGTGTTTCCTCGCATGTCACAAGCGCTGTCTGGAGACTCTGGCCATCCAGTGTGGCCATAAGAAGCTGCAGGGCCGCCTGCAGCTGTTTGGCAGGGACTTCTCTCAGGTAGCCAACTGTGCCAGTGACGGCATCCCCTTCATCATCACCAAATGTATCTCGGAGATAGAGAGACGGGCGCTTAAGATGAAGGTGAGAAGGTGTTTTTATGCTTTAAAGTGAGTGCTTTGCTCTCTGTCACAAAGAATTTTTTTTAAACTGTCAGTTTCCTCCTCGCAGGGCATCTACAGGGTGAATGGAGTGAAGACTCGCGTGGAGAAGCTGTGTCAGGCGTTTGAGAATGGCAAGGAGCTGGTAGAGCTGTCCCAGTGTTCACCACACGACATTAGCAACGTCCTCAAACTTTATCTCAGACAGGTACACATACATCCAGCATGTGCAAGTAAAACACAGTATGCTTTAGTGTTTTGTTGGCTCTGAGAACTATGGCAGCAGCTTCTTTTTTATTTCTTATATAATAATTAAAACCAGTGTAGCTATTATAAAGTAGTCGAATCCTTTATTTTATTGGACAAATAAAAGGGGGATTCATACAAAAAATACATCACATGTTAACCAATAAGTCCATTAACAAGGAAAGAAAAATCCATTCAGTTAAAGGCAAATGGAACCCCTTCAGTCCTGAAAGTCAAAATCTTTTTTTTTATCTTGTGCTCACAGCTAATAGATTAATAATACTAATTATATTTTCAGTAAATAGGTTTGAATGGTCGATTCAAAAATGGTTTTAAAAATAAAAGACAAAGTTAGCTTTTGTTTGTAATAATTGCATTTTATTTAAGTTAATAAATCTCACTGATGTTTCCTTGCTTATAGGTTAAATATATTGGTGTGTTTTAATAACCCTGCTTTTAATTATTGAGTTAAATATAATTACTCAAAATAAAAAATAGCTTTATGGTCATTTGCAAGGCTCTCTTGCTCCTCCATACGTGTTCATACATAATTCAGCCCCTCAAACACTTTTTCCTGTATCTGTCACCAGCTGCCAGAGCCCATCATGCCGTTCCGCCTGTACAACAGTCTTATGGGTTTGGCCAAGGAGAGTCTGCAGAGTGATGCAGACACACCAGTTGGAGAGGAGTCAGAGTCAAGCAGTATTATCCCAGCAGTGGGCAAGGGGCCGGAACTGGTGGATCTGGGTCCTGACACCGAGCCAGAGGTCCTGGTCCTGGTGGACAAGCTGAAGGATCTTCTGAAGGATCTGCCCAAGGAAAAGATCGCTACTCTGCGCTACATTATTCGCCACCTGCGGAGGTCAGTGATTTTATAAAAAAAAATAAGACTAAGCTCTGTGTAATAGTAGTATCCAGTGCACCCATTTATTCTTCATCCTCCCACTATCTTCCTCCTGTCAGAATTGCTGAACTGGAGGAAGATAACAAGATGAGTCCCAGCAACTTGGGGATTGTGTTTGGTCCCTCTCTGATGCGTCCCCGTCCAACCGGGGCCACGATATCTCTGTCCTCTCTGGTTGATTACCCCCATCAGGCCCGCATCGTGGAGGCCCTCATAGTCTTCTATTCATCCATCTTCCAGTCCAAAACCTCCCAGTCCCATAAAACCAGCCGCACTGCTTCCACCTCCACTCAGCAGGTAGGACTCCCCTTGCAGTACGGATGGATCTCCATCTCTCTAATAATGTATTTGTAGCAGAGAATATGTCCTAACATTTGATATAACTGTATGAACTGTAGCATATCGGACAATGAAATACACTGCTAAGCTATTTTGGGGGTGTTGTGGGAATTTTTTAAATATGAAATATAAGCAGTGGTCCTGATTTAAGATGCTGCGGCTAATTTCTCTTTTTCATTGCAGCTAATTATTCAGTTCACACCCCTGTGTATAGATTAATAAAACATATTCTAGCATCAGTTGTTTTTCCCCAGGTACAAATATCTGAAATAATGGCTTAAACTATAAAGACTAAACTAAGATGGTAAACACTGTACCTGCATCTGCATGTGGGTGTGAGCATGTTAACCTGCTGGCGTTAGTGTTTAGTACACCGTCACACAGCCGCTAGCATAGCTATTCACTCTTAATGTAGTTACAAATGCATCTTTCTAACTACTAATTAAATATCTTATTCAGGTGTGTCAGAGTTTGTTATATATACTATAACAGATCTTTGAATACAAGAAAAGAAATCTCTCTTCAGGAGTCCTCATTTGGAAAATGGGGGCTTGTTTTACTCTAAAGAATGAAAGAGTCTTACAGAGAAGGTGCCAATAATTAATGGGCATTAATAAATCCTGGTGTAACTCCTTTCCTGGGTAAAAGCAAGAGGCCAAAAAACGGAAGTGCTAAAATGGCAGCACATCCTCATCCAGATTATGACCTACAGTCGTGATTCATTTGAATACAGCTCCAGCTACATTTCCATGTTTGATATGCTGTCCTTAATAAAAGAGGCCAAAATAACTTCCTACCTTAAACAGTCTCCTCATTGCCTCCCCCTCCTGGTGCAGGATACTGTTGCCGATGACAAGGTGGAGAGCTCCGCTGATGGAGAGGAGGATGTAGGCAGAGAGGAGCAGAATAAACCAGAGTCTGACAAGACGGAAGAGGGATGTGGTAAGGTTTTATAAAGCCTAGGTTGCATAATACTGTTGTAAATGTAAATGAACTATGTTCCCCTTTATAGAGTGAAAATCAAAAGGTCACTCATGTTCTTGTACAGTAGCTACCATTTAGTTCATGATGTTTCTAAAGTAGGTGGAATAAGGTGGAAAACATTTATCATATACAAAATGTAATTATCTCTTGCCTTTAATGTTTAACTGGAGCAGGTGTTTGTCTAACCGCTGGCCTCTCTATCCCTATTCAGAAAGCTCTCTAGGGTCGCTGGGGTCTAGCGAGCAGCTCCCCGACTCTGACTCCGAGCTGGATGAGAGTGGCCAGAGGACCGCACACTCCCGCAGACTGATGAAGCAGGAGAGCGAGGTGAGCATGGACGACGACCAGCTGAGCAACAGGGACAGTCTGGACCTGTCCAGCCAGTCTGCAACACACACCGACCTGGAACAAGAGCCAGATCCAGACCACGACAACACGGAAGGAGCGGAGCCCCCGGCACTGCCAGACAGCGGGCCCCCGGCACTGCCAGACAGCGGGCCCCCAGATGAGACGGGGGCAGAGCAGGACCTGAGTGTGTCCTTGGCTGAGCTCAATGTGAACCAGTCCAACAACAACTTCCCCTGTTCCCCCATTTTAAGCCTGTCGGGGCGTCCACTGGCACCTCTGTATGGAAAGAAATTACCCCTGACCAGAAACAGGGACAGCGAGCCTGAGTTTGTCTGATATTATCAAAATGACTGTGTGTTTGTCAAGTCTCTTAGTTTGAGTTGACTGTTTTTTTTTGTTTTTATACATTAAAATCCAGTAAACCCTGAAACTGAGGGATATTGTGTAGTGTAGTAAAGTTTTGAATCTATACAATCTATCCTGGAAGTGAAACTCTTCATGCTTCCTGCTGTTTAATGCAATTACTCTTTATTTCAAGAGGTTTTGACTCAAATGATTAATATGTATTTTTGTGCCAGTTTGTATGTTAAAGTTTTACTTGTTTCTCTTTACAAGCTTAAGGAAGAGTGGGAAGCCAGTCACCTTTGAATATGAGCAATGTCCAAACTTTCAAAGCAACTTTTAAAAGTGCTGCTGGTTTTGTTTCAGCACTAAAATCTTACAAAATAAATTTAGAAGTTTCTTATAAATGTTGCCTGTATTACCTTATGACTGTTTGGTCTATTTTAATAAACATTTTATTTTAAAATTGTTTATTATTTTGTGTATTCTACAGGTCAAAGACAAATAGGGAACAGTTTAGTGAAAGTGGGCAGGACCAAAACAACCAAATGAGCGTAGTTACAACCTCAGAGTTCTCAGTGACTGTGTTCACTTCCCTGGTACCAGGCACAGAACACTAGAGGAACTGTTTACTAAAGTGGATTTTAATAATCTGACGTGAAGTACAATAACCAGGCCAGTTCTAAAAGCTACAGTCTAAAGCAGCTACAGCATGGCTTTCAAAAGGAAAAAGAAGGTAGGCATCTAAAACCATTACAGCACGATGTAGATAGAATTATTATACTTCAGCTTTAAGATAAATAGTTCTTGAAATGTACATAAATGGTGAGATTGTGAGCTAAATCAGCTTGACAAAGTGTTATTAAATTTTGAAATGTTTATTTTACAAAATCAGTAATTATCAGAAAAACTAAACAACACAAGTCATAAGCAGAAGAATAATCCGTGGATGAGTGATGAAGGATGTAACATCTTCAGTTTCCTTCACTGGTCGTCCTAAATGTTGATCCAGAAGAACATCTGGAAAATAAAACACAGTACGATTTATTTAAAGTAATGACACACTCATACATATATTGGATGATTAGACTTGTCACAACTTGATTAATGTAAATCAAGACAGAGGTCTTATAAATTAAAGTAACTAAAAGAACATGGGATCTTTAAATGTTAATGCTACAAAAACACACACTGACCTCTCCGTCACTGCACCAGTCTATATGTGATGTACCGCCCAGCTGTTTCACTGGGTCTGATGATCTTTACTACCTGGAAAATAAAATGTGCACCATTTTTAAGCTTGCACGGTACAGATCCGCACTGCTGAAAGTCAGGATTCACAGGCAGTCAATTACTGCGGGAATGAAACACAAGGGGGTTGTTTTTTGTATTGCATATGGGTAGTGGTTTATTCAAATGACAGCTGTTATCATACATTACATGCAAATAATGACTTCTATGTCTGTTAATAGATAACTCATTGTTTATTACCACGTGTCTTGTTTAGTATTTTTGGCCACTCTTCGTATCTATATACCTAATAACTTTATTTACCAAGTTAATTGGTGAGATTTGGGAACGCACCACAGCATAGTAGTGAGGCAGTCCCAATAAGAACCACATTGTAATGAACTGGAATTATCATTTAAATGTCTTGTAACACGTAAAGTGGAAAGGAAACGTATTGGCTGACCTAAGATCAAACACACAGCACCATGCATGCACCCATGTAATAATGACAATGTTATGCATTATAATAATAAGAAGCATCTTCAGGATGTGTTTACCTGTCCTCTTTTCAAGCCAAAGTAGCGAGCCACAGGGTCCCCAGCCTGGATCCTCGGCAACTGGCTTTCCTTTAGTTTACTGAGATAAAAATGTTAAGGAAGGATAATCGAATAACAAATACATATTTGTGTGACGAATTGAGTCTTAAAAATACTAAATACAGCTCGATGGTGGTCTTAAGCTAAATCAACTGCTACTGTTTATTGTATTACAAATGGAATAGCGTACGCTGAAGATGACCACGTTCATTTTCTGCAGGCAAATCTGATTTAAACATTCTTAAATTCAACTACACCAAGCAGTTGCAGTGTGTGTTAGGATACTATCTTGCCAGAAGTTCAGTCACTTCCTCTTTCGTCATAACAATGTGCTCTGGAACAAGCTGAAAGACAAAGATTAAATGCATCAAAAACTAAAATGGAATCTTATATCTGAGGCATAGCCCATAGGATCATTTTGAAATATATTGTCCAATGAACAGTTTGGTGTGTACCTCATGCTCTGTGATGTTAATAAGCAGCTCCTGTTGTAGAAACTGTTCCAATATGTATTTGGGTGCCATGTCAACTAGAGACTGTAAAGAGACATTTTCCATAAATATTTCACCAAGAGAGGAAGATCCAAAAGAGAAAGTACGGGAAATAACAACAAGAGACATTCATGATCATATTCATGTAATTTTTTTATGTCTGTTTGGTAAATATATAAAATAAACAGATTGTAGGCGTTTACCTGTTTGGCTGACGGTGTCATGCCCATCTGAACAACAATGATGGCTCGTGTGATGTTCTCCTCCTGCATCCTCTGACAGTACATCTTAATAGTCTTGATTCCCACTTTGGGCTCCTCTGAAACATGAAGAAAAGGAAGAGTTATGTAATATGTAATATGCATCATAGGCACACCTTTATTCACTATTAAACGTTCTATACTGGCTTCATCTTTGGTTCCTGGACAATGTGTGTAGTTGTATTAAGAACTGCTGGTCTATCTCTCTAATGTTAGATATGAACCCACCAGGAAAGAAAACAAACATCTGGTCCGTGGGGTCATCGTTGTGCGCCACCAGCACAGTGAGGTCTGTGCGTCTGGGGCGACCCTCGCTGGGCTTGTCTCCAAACTGACTCTTGAACTCGTCCAGTGTCTGGTCCAACTCGTCCTGTGTCACCAGGTAGCCTCGGTCGTGGCACAGCTGAGGGGGGACAGGTGTGAGTCCGTGAGAAGACTAGAGCTGTCAGCTTCACTTACTGATTGTAAACCATCATCAGGGGAACTTAGGCAGTGATGGAAAGGTCATTATTTATGGTAGAAACCTTAGAAACCTTATGGTATTCATGTTGTTATCAGTCTGAAGTAGTGCTTCCTGGTAAACTCTCTTGTACACAGCAGCATTTCTCTACAATAGAGCCAGCTGCTGCTTTATTACACAGACACATGAACAACAGACACAAACTCTGCCCGGTTTACACTGAGGACACATTCAACGAACCTGCAGAGTCCAACTTCACAGAGCGGAACCGCTGTTTGAGCTAAGCTAACAGGCTAAGTGACGCCATTCAGAGCAACGCACCTGCATGATGGTTTTACGAATCTTCCACAGTCTGTATGTTTCCTCTTCGTCGTCCATATCGACCCGACTGCGAAATGTACTCTAGTTTGAATCTATTTAATAATTATTTTTCGTTAATTTATCACTCCTTTGAACTACGCGACGCACGTTTTCGTTTACCGACGCAGACTGATGACATGGCGGAGTCAGCAGGTACTGAAGTTGGCTTCTGATTGGACAGTTAAGGGGAAACTTAAGGGGGATGTAACCACAGCGCTGAGCGACCGAGCCTCTTACTGCTGAACGCCGTCTGAAACACACTGTGTGAAAACTTGATTCCACTTGTCAAAATGCTAAAAGGGCAGTTTTTGATTTGGACCTGGTTTAAATGTGGAAAAAATAAAATCTATTAAATCTCCCTTAAGTTTTCACTTAACTGCCAAACCGGAAGCTACGAATCGGAAGCCAACTTCAGCGTCGCAGTCAGCAGCCACAATGAAAGTATTGATTATTATAAATGTGTCTGTCCTGTAACTGAAAGAAATGAGGCCGTTATATGTGATTCTGGCCTTTGGGGTCGTGGCGAGCAGTGGAGTACTCCTGGCGATGGTACTGTACTTTGTTTTACTCATAACGGTAACGTATGCGTTTATAAGGTGTTTGGCATGTGTGATATGTGTGCTCCTGTGATTTATAATTTGTGTAACACTGATGTCTAATAAGTAATAACAATACTGTATATTGATTAATGGGTGTTATTTTAGAGCGCATGCGCTGTTGGTGAAGTTACACAGTTATTAATGCTAGGCTTCAACCTATTTTTTATTTATTTTTTCATACGGTTTATAAATGCTAATAATAATCTGTCACTTTTATAAACACTACACAGGCAGTGCACTTTACTGCTATATAACTGAGTGTGCTGGAGAGTGAAAAAGAGTGCAAAGGTTCGTATGAGTGTAGCTTATGACGCCGGATGTTTCCACAGCAGCACTCCCCCATCTGGTGTCAGCTGATAGGCTTATCAGTCAGAGAAATACAGCATCATCAGGCTCTTTTAAAGGTTTCATAACACAAGGTCATATTAGCACGTTACAGCTGAAACTCTATTATATCTGTAATAAAAAATGAACTTTAGCTGACCAGCATCCTGTAGGCCACAGGATCTTTTGATTTTATCAGCAGTATAAAGAAAAAGTAACTATACCGCACTATAGATACACTCCATAGTAGAGTAAAGGTCTACATAATTCATCATAATTGTTTTAACTACTTTGTATTCTGTTGTGAATGACTGAATTAATAACAGTGCATCATGTTTTATAAGCTGATAATAATATAGGGATCTTCAAAGTGAGCTGAATCTGAAAAATATATGTGGTGGAAGAATAGTCTAAAGCTGAAAGTATTCCTATGTTAAAGTTGTACATAAGTACAGTAATGTAGTACATAGTCACTTTTCACCATTGCTAATTATTTTATAAACAATACAGTTATTAAAATAATATGAAGTGAACTAGTTCGTACTTCTCTATTCCATAATCTCAGTTCACAATACATCTAAAATATCCATCACTATCTCTCCAAAAGTATTTAATTTCTCATTTTTATTAACACATATTTTTGACTACTTTATATTTAGATTAATAATCTGTAAATATTTCATGGATTAGGGCCTATAAAGTCTACTTATTGTTTGTAACCATTTGTCAAAGCCAAGCCATGAAGCATGATTCCCAAGTAGATTTAAATAATCTTTTTTTTAAAAATGGGATTAGTGTATTTTCCACCACCCGCTTTTGTTGTGCAATGCTTTGCCTGGTGGTTCCACCGGTATGACCTGATTGTAATGTGGCAAAATGTTAAGGAGATGGACGCGGGCAGGTCCCAAGGTGCTGTTAGAGTAAACTAGATTATTATTGTCTAATTGTTCCCAGATTCTGATTATTTATTGTGTTTTGGGCTCAGTCATTGTGACTTTATGTCGGGGTGAGATTTAGGAGGTTATGTGTGCTGCAAATAATGTTAATTCACTGATGTAACTCATTCTGATATTAAGCTCATTGCATAATGAGTTCATGTATTACTTCAGACTGTTGCACTTTGCCTTGTGCACATGAAGCTCAATCCCCCATGGCCTTAATCTTTGTTTTTATAAGGACTCAACTCCCCTCATGACTCTGTGATAATGTTGCAGACTGTGGACCAAAGTACACGTGCATTTCTGATTTTTAGTCATCAGCAGAGAGGGACCTATTGGAGAATCACAGCTTGTCAATTTTGTTAATGATCACCCGCTCCCTTTACATGAGGACAGTGGAACGTGAGCTCTCTCAGTAAGTGGGACCGTGGTCTGGCAGTGAGCGTGTAGCTGAAGACACAGATTTGATCGTTGTCTGCCTTCAGAGGACCTTACTGAAGGGCAGTTATGCGCCTGATAGGGTCCGCTGTGCTTTTCTCTGTCCTGCTGCAGGCTATGGTAAGAAAAAAAGTCAGATTAGGACTGAAGCACTGGCTTATGGTGCAGTCCTGGAACTTCCTTTTGGACAATGTCAGATTTTGTTGAACTGAATTGATCATAGGTAAAAGGAAATTGGATGTGTTTTTTTATCTATTATTTTGATTTATTTAATATACTTATTATGTGTTTATAGATATTTTTAAAGGTTTGCACACAGTGTAGATTGCGGGATATCAATGCTGTATGTGCTGGTTATGTAATATTTATTAAGCAGGATAAAGTGGATTTTAATAGTGAAGTTTTCATCACTCGTCTTTTTTTTTTTTACTCCTCTTTCTTCCTGCAGTCTGCTCCGACAGAGGACTGGGAGAGGGCCACGTCTATTTATGACTTCTCAGCGACAGATATTGATGGCAATGTGGTTTCCCTAGAAAAATACAGGTAAATCTATCTGTGTCAAATTCTCTCCCTAAATTTGCTGCAGCATCCCACTACTACTGTACCATCGCTATGTATGTCTCTCTTATGTGTCTGTCTCTGTATATTTAGGGGGAATGTTGTTATCATCACCAACGTTGCCTCTAAATGAGGTAAAACCCCAGTGAACTATTCTCAGCTTACGCAGATGCACGCCAAGTACGCTGAGAGAGGTTTACGTGTCCTTGCCTTCCCTTCTAACCAGTTTGGTAACCAGGTATGAATACACATGAGTGTTTTTATTAAAGCACCAAGTTAGAACAGGCCTAAGACTTTGATCTGTGATCATTAAGAATGTGAGACAACAAGGTCAGATTATAAAATGTTCCAGATGAGGCATTACAGTGTATTCTTTACTCATGAAAGAGTTTGTTTACAATCTTTAACCATGATGTTTGTGCAGTTTATCCAAGGGAAAGTAACATATCACAGTAAATTAAGCCATATTTTATCTTTTAATTAGCATTGGTTTAGTAATTTTGTCTTATTTTTAACCAGCTTACGGCTTGAATATTGCTGAACACTGATATTATTGCTCTCAACTTGTTTTACTTTGAAGGAGCCCGGCAATGAAACTCAGATCAGGCAGTTTGCCAACTCCTACAATGCTCAGTTTGACTTGTTCAGTAAGATTGACGTGAACGGGGCCAACGCTCACCCCTTGTGGAAGTGGCTGAAAGAGCAGCCCAACGGGAGAGGCTTCATGGGGAAGTAAGTGGTGAACAAATGAATGGCTGAACTCTGGGCTAATTATAACAGGCAGTTATAATGACATAATACTTCATTACAAGCTAGTAAATATGTTTTTCTATTGAATTAAAGCCATCAATTATTGATCATCATAGTGTTGACTGAGTGATTATTTGCTAACATATAATTTGTTTTCGTTCCTGCAGCAGCATCAAGTGGAATTTCACCAAGGTAAATATTTTTTTATCAGTTATTTATAAGATATTTAGCACTGGAGTTGATAGAGCTGACCTTAGCTCATCATCTGTTCCTGTGTTGTTGTGCAGCAGTGTGAACAGGTGCCCTCTCCCTATAGTGTGTTTACTGTGGAGAGTACAGTACATCCATACCATATTTGAGGGTTTAAAATAAATATTGTAAGAAGTGAATGCTTTTCAAAAAGTGTGTGTGTTTAAAGTTTCTCATTTCCTTCTGTCTAGTTTTTGATCAACAGAGAGGGTCAGGTGGTGAAGAGATATGGACCCCTGGATGATCCAAGTGTATGTACAAACATCTTACTATAGTGTATATATCTTGACTATAGTATACTGTTGCGCTGTGAATATGAGTGAGTTAAAGTGAATTAGAATAAATTAGTTGAATAAACAAAAGAGAAAGAGTACTTACTTTTGGATTTAACATGGAAATGACCTCTCATATAAACACAGTACAACATGTATATGTTACTATTAGCTGTAACTGCACATACTGTGTGTGTATTTTTATGTCAACTTCTACTTTGCTTTCTTCCCAGGTGGTGGAGAAAGATCTTCCTCGTTACCTGTAACAGTAACCTGCAACACCAAATGGGTGATTGATGCCACACAAACTAATACTCCGTCCATTTTGCCCTTTAATCTCTTTTCTCTGCCTCTCCAAGCACCAGTGGATATTGTTTGGGTCCACCCCAGACTAGTGACGGTCTGTTCGTAAACCCGCATGGCGGACAGAGCAGACCTGATGAAAGTGGCGTGCAAACCTCCTGGGCGTACCAAGCTTGTATTCATTTGGTTCTCTGGAGAGAAGGAGAAAAAGATCTTAAATGCATCATTAGCTCTTTCAGTAGATTAATGTGTGGCATTGTTTTCATAATAAAATGTTCTAACGATACTTTTGTCCTTTTTCATTTTTTTAAAGTTATATTATATTTCGGTTGCTTGTGTAATAGAGTATGTTGATGTTTTCTCCTGAGCTATTGATGTGCGCAAAGATCTTGCTTTTGTATAATGGAAATGGTAAAATGTGACAGAAAATCCATTTCTGCAATACTGAAAAATGCAATTGTGAAATGACAATTTAATTGGAGGTAACTATTACACACATCTATTTTTCTGAATTCCAACACAATAGCAATGATTGTAGAAACACCGATTAACCACTTAGACTTTCCCATGAAATATATAATCATACAGTAAATAAAAATACTCACAAAACATTGATTTTGGACGTAGCCCTGATCAGTGGTTAGAAACCAACAGTGAGCCGCAAGATTTATTTTACCAAACGATTTAAAGTATAGGAAATAGAAACAATATTCTTTTCAGGACTTAATAATAATTCAAATTAAACAGTGTTCTTGCACACATGGACAACATTGTATTAAGGGATCACAGTATGGGAAGAGGAACAGGTGAAAAAGGAGTACCTTAAGGTGTTTTCTGCTTAGTGTATACAATAAAAATTTAAAGAAAACAGTCATTTGAGGGTTTCGTGGAACTGGAGTGTTATTTATATTAATGCTATTAATATGGTAGTATGATGACTTCTAATTAGTTTGGGGTGATAAAAGCAAACAAACCAATAACAAACAAAAAAATATATTCATGCATAGGTCAAAATGTCAGATTATGTTGTGTTTATTATGACTTAATTAGTTATTCATCTTTCTGGCTGACTGCTTTTAAGTGTTTTTTTTATTTTATTTTTTGTAAATGTTTATATGTTGACTCACCAGACGGATTAAGAGCTTGAGTAAATGTGCTACAACCACTCAGACTCCCATCAGTTCAAGCTGACCTCTGCGTGTGATTCAGAGCATCCAGGAGGACGCGCTGAGCTCCCGGCTGCAGCTCCCGCGGCCTCCTGCAGAGGGAGCCACAGTGTCCGGCACAAAACCAGGCAGCGAGCAGCACGGCAGCAGCAGCAAGTGCGGCGCAGTCGACCTGAGAGGAGAGGACTGCGTGCCGCCGCCGTCGTGAGGAAAACACCGCACAGATGAAGGGACCGTCGCGAATAACTAACACACATTCCTCCGTTTAATCACTGTCACATATCAAACAACACATTCCTCCTTCCTGCCGCCGGGATCGAGCCGTCGCTGCGGGTCTTTGAGTCGGTGGGCTTGCCTTGTTTTTTCCTCCGGGAGGCTGAATGGAAGCAGCAGCCGAGGGAGCGGTCGGGCTGTCGGAGGCCAGGGACGGGAGCCCGCTATCCGTCGCCGCAGCATCCGATGATGGGGACACGGTCGTCGGAGTTAGCTACGGGATGGACGCCGCCGACATGGGTACTTTCATCCCCTTTTAAGATAAAACACACCCGTCTTTTTTAATGCTCATTTCACCACCCTGACACCCGTTTCCATCTGATGCTACTGCTGTGACCAGAAAGTCCCGACTCATCTTTGCTAGCAAGGACCTGGTGAGCTAGGCTAGGAGCTAACTTAGCTGGACTGGATGAGGGAAGCAGGTAAAGTTAGGTACCAACGTTATATACAGTATGTGTGTTACTGGGTAATGTTTATAGCGCATTCATGTAGCTACAGTCGTGACTAGTCAGCAGCCAACCCGTGGCCAGCCAGTGAGTAGACGTCTGACAGGACAATGTGAATGTGTCTGATATTTAGAGCTGGAAATCTTCCTAATGACCCGGCTGTGTTTGTAGAAAGAGCCAGGGCTCTATATAGGAGCTTTTCTCTTGGCTTCCTCTATTGCCTCTTCCAGCTTTAGGGCTTTAGGCAGCTAGAGTTATCACCACCTGTCACCCACAGGCTGTAGAAAAACATGAATATACCATTAGGAAGAGACCATTAAAGCCCCAGTTTGGGTTCACCATTTATTACCACCTTGGCATTTACTGGAGCCAGATCATCCACATTACTGCAAGGAGGAGGGCTGATGTGATTACCATTATAATCTATATGTGTTTCTTTTTATTTGACACAGATTAGAAATAGACATTTGAGATGTCATATAGGAAAAGCACAGGTGTTACTAATAACATTAAGATGGCTCTGTTCTGTTCAAGTGTCTCAGCATGTTTAATACCAGCACCGTGAAACTGAGGCAGCTACATGGATTTCAGCCATCATTTATTTTATTATGTGTGCTTCTCCTTTTCTTGTGTCATGGCAAAATGTCTCCGGTGAGAAAAGGCCTATTAGTGGTTGAGGCCGTGATGTATCATGAAAACCAATTGTTAGATCTCCAGTGATGTTTTTTACTATATAAATCAGTATTGTGTATATATCAGCCAATAAGTAACAAGAAATTGCAGTATAGAAAAGTCTGTACTTGTGTTATCTTGGTATTTATTTTGAATTACCAACTTTAAGGATCAAATATCGGCATTAGAGACAATTGGAGAGTTTTTGCAGTTAATTTGTTGAGTTTTCTTAGTTCAGTAAAGCAATGAAAGTTAGCTAACAGTGTGTTAAAGCAGTAACTAATTTGTGAATTTATCGCACCATTTTCAGGTTGTGTGCATTGACTGTAAAAGTGTTATTACTATTGATGTTTGTTGTGTGTGTATCAGTGATGAGAGATGAGGGAGGTACGCTCATAAGTACCCGTTCTGTTAGTTGTTGCTTAAAGGTCCAGTGTGTAACATTAAGGAGGATCTATGGGCAGAAATTGAATATAATATTCATAGGTATGTTTTCATTTGTGTCTTATCAGCTGAATATAGGAGTCAGCGTGTTTTCGTTACCTTAAAATGAGACGTTTTAATCTACAGACTCCGCAGGTGGAGTCCGCCATGTTGAACTGTTTCTGCAGTAGCTCAGAATGAA